TATGTTTGACTTCCTTATTGCAAGTGAACCAACCACACCCAACTGCTGTTGAATCGCAGGGTTCTCTTAATCCCTTGCTTCATATTGGGATCAACAGTAGATTAGCGTGTTCGAGTCGATGTTTTTGCAAGGCAAATGTTGAGGCATACGAGTCATATGAGCAACTGACAAACATGCTGGTAGTCAGCTTGCGAGTTCGGGGAGGACATGGGAAGGCCCACCAAATTTCCGAGAACAACCCATAATTTCTGACCAATTTCATGTTCTGCAAGGAAGCCTTCGTGTTTTTGTCTGGAGTTATGGCCTTGGCCTTTGGGTTCTGTTGAGAGGCAGCACCCTGGCTCTTGGCTCTGGCCAGTAGACGATCCACCCTTGGGTTGTGTCAACCAAAATTTATGGAGTGTGCATGTTTGTTCGCAAAGGCACGCACACAGAAGACACATGCAGCACGCACTTTCATGTCGACCTGCTTTGGAGTCCTTGCCATTGGTGGAGGCTTTCTTTTGTCTCATTGCCGTGCCTAGCCTCGTCAGGCGGAATCGTTGTCGTGTTAAGCTCTGCTCAAATCCCCCCTGAATTTACGGCCAACCCCCCTCAGCGTGGGGATGATGCTTTGTGAATGAGTTCTGGATATGCTGAGCCTGTCACGCCATCCCCGCATTGTACCTTTGTGGAGCATGCTGCGCTTCATAGTGCGCATGACAAAGTCATTACATCAGTGCCTTATGTGAAAGGTTTGTCAAAAGTATAGGGGCCCTTTTTGGTTCCCCTTCACAGGGCGGCACGTACCGGCATGAGGTCCCAAAAGGGTCCGAATATTTTTGACAGCACATGTGAGGATTGTGGGCAGCACAATCAGCGACGGGGAGTCGAACTGGCTGGAGGGGGCAGCTCTTATCTCAGCATATTTGCTGGTGGCCGTATCCCTTTGGTACATATGAGGCGAGGTGTGTATGCGACAGCTTCTTGTTGACAGTTGCCTGCACATAGTGGGCAGTGAGAGTATGGATTGGGGACAAGAAAACCACAATGAATTATTGTCGCTTTTCCACCAACGGGCACCAACTTCCTACCACTGGTCTGAAACAAATGGCAGATGCCAGAGAATGTAATCTGTACATGGTGCCAGATACTCTCTCTAGAATTTGACGCTTGCTCCGTGCGGTCTGGAGAAACGGGTGGACTCCGGGACAAACCTGGATGAAGTGCCCCTTCCCAGACTCCTGCCACTGGCTTGCCGATCGGTGAGCTCGAATGCAACCGCACATTGCGCTGCAGTGGAGATACAAGTCGCGAGTGGTGGATATCTGTGTTTGACCCCGAAGGACCGTCACGGTTGGCTTCATGCTGATGCCTCGGCTCAAGCTCAAGCTGCACTCCCCACTCGCTTTGAAGCCAACAGTTGAGATGCCGAATCGGAGAAGGCGGAGAAGGAATCGGAGAAGCTCTCCTGGTGCTGGCGATAGGTGTTTGAGTGTATTCTATTGGGCGGGGGGCCTCAAGGTTTTTTCATCTGCCCAGGCAACTCGCCTTACTTCCGTGAGATGGGTTGGGAGCTCTGGAAGAGTCTTCTTCCAGCAGCTGCAGTTGCATTTCGGACTCTGGACAGTACCAATGGCGATGCAGCTGTACAAGGAGCAGCTTTGGCATTGATTGGTCAGGAGTTTGCCGTCCTCCTTTTTTGACACCAATGTCTTGATGGAAGCCATTTGCTTCGAGGTTTTCTCCGAATCGGAAGCCATTGCCCGCAAATCTTTTGTTATGTCCTGTGCTCTTTCTGCCACGGGTGGAATCATCTTGGATCTTAGCTGGAAGGGAGTCTCCTGGAACACTACAACACCCCTAAGGCCCTAAGCTTCTTGCTCACTTGGAGTCAGCTTCGAACAAGGTGTGTGGCAGCCAGCTCAGATCTCAAACAGCGCCAGCCGGCTGGCTCACAGAGCCATGATTGGTCTCGCATTTCTCATGGCAACGGCCATGTGACTCCACCAATGGAGCTCTGTGCAGTGCTGTGAAGGCGATGGTCATGAAGATAGAGGTGCGGGTCACCAAACTCGAGCTCGAGCCGCGAGACGCAAAGCCCACAGCTAGAGACTGACTCCCAAGAAGACTAAAACCAGCAAGATCCTTGCGTACAGCAGGATGGCAGGTTTTCCTGAATGGCTTCACGAAGAGTTTCTGTTCTGCAACCATTTGGATAACTTCTGCCATCTTCAAGAAGCACCATGGTTGGAATAAGGTGACCGGAGCGGGGATTGCCCAGCGGCGATCTCCTTGCTTCCAGTGTCATTGCCTTGCCGTTGAAGCGAAAGATGGTGGAACTCAAGGGAGCTTTGGTATGCGACAGGCCAGCCCTACACAAGCTGCTTGATGCTCGTGTGGTCGCTCTTGACTGCGGGGATCGCCAGCTCGCCAACTCGGTACCGATTGCAGCCCAGGTCATTGGGAGGGCTCTGCGCGACGCCTGCTTGGCCAGTGGGCCGCAATGCCGAGTCCTTCGGTGCTTTTTGTGGCAGGTCTCAGGTCTGATATCCATGCAGGGGATTGGTTTGGTTGGTTCCTTCGCTTGCGCAGGAGTTACCAGTTACCTTTCTTTGCCGGCGGCGAGGATTCGGGCAGACCTATCTACAAGTTTGCAAGATGACGCGATTGCGATTGGCATGCGCACACATCTTGCGTTTCCACCGGGGCGATTTGTTTCGGGATGTTTTTTTCGGCTCGCCAGAAAGTGGCTTTTGTGGCGGTGGTTTTGGCATCCACACCCCCATCATCACCAGCACCACCCCCAGCATCACCAGCAAGTGGCTCCAAACAAGCTGCAGCCAACCCAAAAACAACCCTAAACCAGCCCTAAACCAAACCACAGCCCAAACAACCCCCAAATCAATCCCAAGCCCTAGACTCGCCTTATGCCCCACCCCAACCCTAAGCCAACCCTAACCCCATCCTAAACCAACCCCAAACCAGCCCTGCACTCGCCCAAAACCCACCCTAACCCCGCCCTACAACTCACCCAACATTAAAGAAGCCGCCTAAACCAGCCCTGCACAAGCATCCCAAATGAATTCTGCACCGAGATTTTCCAACTCATTCGCACGGAGATACCGTGCAGGTTGCCTGGGCCTTTCTGCTGAAAGCAGCGACGCATGGCCTATCCAAACGAACCTGATAGACCAGAGAGCTCCGAGGCATCGGGCAAAGCAGCCGCTTCCGTGCAAGGAAGAGATTTGCTGAGGCTTCATGCGGAGCAGATTTCCCCAGCCTGATGTATGGAGCGTGGGCTTGCTAAGACCTTTGTGTGGCATGTGTGTTGGGCTCGCGAAGTGCTTTGTGTGGCATGTGTGTTGGCTCAAGGTCTGCTTTTGGTCGACTGTGGAGTTCCGTTGCAACTCGGTTGCAAGGCATGTGGTGCCATGGATCCGGACCAGGCGGACCAGGCAGATCAGGAGCAGGCGGATCAGGTCGAGGAGCTGCAGATTCGGATCCCCGTTGAGCTGCAGGTGCCCAGCGACGTGTCGCTGCAGGAGCTGCGGCGGTTGGTGGGGGCGAAGCTGGCCGAGGCGGCCTTGGAGGCGGAGGTGCCCAGGTTGCTGGGGCTGAACGGGCACTGCTGCGCGGAGGACTCGGCGCAGCCTTTGCGCATGCTGGTGCCTGGCTCGGTGGTGTCGCTGGTGGAGGATGTGGCCGAGGCCCAGGAAGTGGCGCGACTGGGCTTGTGCTTGAACGCCTTCCAGCTGATGCAGGTGCAGTGCTGCAGCTTGACGGTCAAGGAGGACGCCTGGGAGAAGCGGATGCGGCTCTACAAGACGCAGCGCTGCTCCAACTTCGCGAAGGGCACGGGCTATTGCTCCTTCGGGCAGAAGTGCCACTTTGCCCATGGAGACCACGAGCTGCGGACGCCGGGGGCCCCGTTTGAGGCAAACAAGCTACTCGAGGCGAATGCCCATAAATCCCAAAGCTGGGATGAGGGGAAGTCGAAGTGGGATGATTGGTCGAAGAAAAATGATGACTGGTCCAAAAAGGATGACTGGTCCAAAAAGGATGATTGGTCGAAAAAGGATGACTGGTCGAAAAAGGATGACTGGTCGAAAAAGGATGATTGGTCCAAAAAGGACGACTGGAAGTGGCGCGGATGGTCGCAGTCGTCCTGGTCAGACTGGTCCGAGTCCGGCTGGAAGTGTAATGACAGTGATTGGAGCTGGAAGGATTGGCAGTGGGACTCGGACAAGTCGGACAAGTCGGACAAGTCGGACAAGTCGGAGAAGCTGGAGAAACCTGGCAAGTCGGGCGACCTGAAGTCCAGCAGTCCCAAGGATGCTCACCGAAGTCCTAGTCCGGAGCCGTGTGCATTGGTCCTTAAGCCCGTCGACCAAAGCGTCGAGGCGCCCAAAGAGCGCCCTCGGGATCGTTCTAAGACGCGCGAGGCCCGTGCCCGGGAGACCCGTGACCGGGAGACCCGGGAGACCCGGGAGACCCGTGAGACTCGGGAGACCCGGGAGACCCGGGAGGCGAGGGGGCCCCGGGGGTCTCGGGGGACGCGAGAGCGCTCACGCTCACGTTCCGGGAAGCGTAAAGACGCAGACCGGAGGTCGCGCGGCCGCGGCCGATCGCGGAGGAGCCGGCGGAGGAGCCGAAAGCGTAGCCGGAGCAGAGGCCGCCGACGCTGACTGCCGGTATCGAGTTCTGGCTGGCCGCGCAAAGCTCGCTGGTCGCCGCACCTGTGGGGTGGCAGCAGCCCATGCAGAAGGGTGTGCCTTGTGCGATGGAGGAACTATGTGCAGCAATAGATAGCATGGGAGAGAAAGTGCGGTTGTGTGCAGTTGACCAGCAGGCTAGCTCCCAGCCAGCTTTGTGAGCGGAGTGGTAGACTCCCTTGATATATGGTTTTAGCCATCGAGCCTACATCTTGACAACGCATACACCATTGATCGGTTTCCTCGTGAATCATGATTCATGCATCGCGAATCATGCGCAACGGCTTCGGCACTTGGTCTCGACAGGATCATTTATAGGGCCTGAAGAGGCCTTGAGGGGAGGCAATCTGCCCAGGGCTCAGACGCGTTGACCCAAGCCCTATGCTGCTTGAAACGAAATTTTCAAGCAGGCTTGCTCTTGTGATCTCACTCTGAACCAAGGATCGGCATGCACTTCTTCGGGACAGAGAGGAAGATCAAGAAATATGCCAAGGTGGGTGGCATGGCTGGAGTGAACCTGATTCCCCTTACTCTCTCCGGGAAGTTTGCAGTTCAAAGCCTCAGATGCACTCCACCTTGGTTACGCCTGCCGCATCAAGCATAGACGCCGTGTGTATGGGGCTCTATGGTTGTCGATGCCTGAAGTTTCCAGCTGCATTGCACAGTTTTTCTCAGCGCCAGAAGCGGAACGCCGGCATCATCGGCGAGGGGGTGGTGGCCTTTCCACCATGCGAGCCGTTGCTTGGCTCTGCGCAATTATTGCCACAGTCACAAAATTGTTGAGAATCACCAGGGGAGTCGCTCATTTTTCCTTGTTTGTTTGTTTGTTTGTTTGTTCCAGGATTGGGTTTTGACTGGGCTCGTGCAAGCATTAGGCAGCATGAGTATTTACGGTTGCATACCAGGAGACGAGGCATTTGAGGTAAATGAACAGTATTTGCAATCAACACCATAAGTTGTGTATGACCATATCCCCATACCTCCATGAGAAGTGTTGACCATAAGTTGTGTATGGTGAAAGGATCCCCGTCTCAACGCGAGCGCGAGCGCTGGCTTGTGGCAAGCGCTTGGTTCTCTGAGGCAGCCATTCTGCGCCATCCTTGAGGCCCGCGCAAAGGAGAAAGGCAGAAACAAAAAGATGGGACCACCAAAGCACCAATCCGGTTCACCAATCAGAGGGAAGCTGAGTTGAATGTAGATGGCACTCGTTTCAGTTTTGGTCCCTTTTCCTTTGCCAGCGCCTGTCCAAGGACACACAGGCTGTGGAGTCTCCGATCTCGCCTTGCAGGTCTTGGGGAAGAAGATTGCAGGTGTTGAGGAAGACTGCGGGGTGCGGAAGCCTAGGAGTCAGACGCCAGCGGCGAGCAGGTGAGCCACGATCAGAGCCCGGGTAGATGAAGGCTTGCAAGGGATAATCCAAACCATAAATGGGTGGTTCCAGCCGCCTTTTTAGTTCTTTACTTGGTTCTGGGTAGACGATTTGAATTCCAGGTTTTGATTGTGACTCAGGTGGATTGGTTGATTCAACCAAGCAAGGCGTTGAGATGGAACTCCTAGCTTCCAGCTCCAATTTGCCCAGATGAATGGCCACTCATTCTTAAAATCATTGGCTTTGGGGAACACCAATTAAGTCCAAAGTCGTTTCCGGTTGCTGAGAGCTGCGTTTGCATGGGTTTCCTCTGCATCTATCGGAGGTGCCGCCGGAAGTCGCAGCCCTCCTGCTGCCAACGGGTCAGGCGATTGCTCCGAATGGGGGCGTTGAGTTGGCGCAGCTTCTCGTACCCTTTGGGGGAGGTCAAGGGGGGGAGAAACATCGGGGCACCTCTTGTTTTAAAGGAGTAACCAAGGAGCCCATGTGCAGCTTCCGAGCCCCCGAACTTGGAGCGAATCTTCGCTCGCGCCAGCCTGGCCACTGGCGACGGAGAAGAGGCCTGGAAGCTGAGCTTGAGGGTAGCCAAGTAATTATCCCATTTGGGGTTGCTCAAAAGAAGCCACAGGAAAAACCCGTCTTTTTGGGCCTTCCTGTATTGTGTGGTTTGCCTAGTCTTTTTTTTGCTTTCTCTCGAAACAACTACAGAGATGCTTGCGCGTCCCATTTTGGGTGAGCTTCGTCAAGGTGGGAAAATGTTCGGAGCCCGACTATGAAGTTTGGGCTTCGGCCTGTTGCAAAGGTTCAGCGGACAATTGGGAGGCCGTGCTTGGTTTCATATCGGGTATGAGTCAAAATGAAACCACCAGGGGACCGCAGGTTGAGTCCTTGTTTCCATGTACCAGGGTTGCATTTTGGGTACCTATTCTTGATCACCCAGATTGGTCCTAGCGTCTGCCTTTTGACAAACAGCCCCCAAAGAATCCGAAGCCCGGTGGATGGGCGGCTGAGGTGCAAAGAGCGCCTTCCTGGAGCTGCCAGGCGCGGGTGACCTTCAGCCATTGCCCGAGTTGACGTCCGGACCCCAGTGAAAGCTCCGGCCTTTTTGAATCCTTACTTGGTGAAGGCGTCCCGGGGTTTCATATGCAATCATCTTGCATCGAACAGTTCCGCGGTGCCCTGAGGCTCGATGTATGGTCACTCCTATTGTTTTCAATTGACAAACGTGGTGATGAATCCGAGATGGTGAGTCTGCATTCACCCAAATGCACTTCATGGTGTGAGAGGCACAAGAGAAACACCACACCTTTGTATCCTCTTTGGCTGATGACCGGCCTTTTCGGAAGAAGAGACGTGTTGTGTTCAGGATGGCCATCACTTTTATTGTGATCGAATTATAAGCTGAGTTTCCCTGAGGGTTAGCGTGCTTCCTGAAAGCTCAGGAACATTTGAGGAATTGAAGTCTGGCCTGAGTTTATCGAGAGCACTAGAGGCCTTCAACTGGCGCATTACCCACAGGTGCCCACTGTCCGTGCGCAGGAGCCGAGCCCCAGTTAATGCCAAAAAGCAGAGCTGCCCGCTCGCTCATGGCAAAACAGTTCGCGTGGCGCTGGGGAAGCCTCGAAAAGACATCGGCCCCATGGGAATATCTGCCGAACTTTTCGGGGTCCCTTTCCAAGGTCTTTTTGAAAGCAGCTGATTTTTTGGCCAGATTTGCCAGCGCGTTGGATGCCGGCAGCATTCGGGCCCAAGCAAGCTGCTGGCTGCCTCGGGCCAATGTACCTGAGGCAACCGGAAAGGGCCTGGCATTGCAGAAAGCATTGCCCTGACCCTGCGAAATCTGTGGACGCAGGTTGGACACCCAAGCTCCCCGGAAACCAGGCACGTTGGAATGGTGCGGCTGTGCTAGCGATGAAGCACTCCTGCCTCGGCTTTTGTTTACGAGACACACACACACAAAGTTTGGAGAACCCTAACATCAACATATTAGGTCAATAGAGTGATCGCTGGATCCCATAGATCCCTGTCAGCGGAACCCCATGGCGGAGAAGAAGTCTCGATGGGGAAGGACTGAGCCAGATCGACGCGGGCCTGAATTTGCCTTGGTCACTTTCAAGCCGGGCTGCTCTTGCAGGGACGCTCTGTCAGAACGCTGGGACTAAGGACAAGCCATTTGGCCACGGGGCATAACCTATGGCTCCATTTTGGGGTGGATGAACATCCATTTGCCACCTATTTTGATGTTCACAAAGGGTACACGGCTGCCCTGTTCAGATCTCCGTCTTTTGCGCTGGCCTTTCTTCGATCTTCTCTGACGGAGAGGACTTTTAAGAGCATGGGGGTTCAACCCTTGTCCAAGTTTTCTTCCAGGAAAGAAAAGAAGGCGGAGCCGGCCGGAGCCCTAGGAGAGGCTGGTGGGTCTTTTTCCATTGGTTGATGGCAGCTGTCTGTTGTCGCCTCGTTCATTCTTTTGGGGCTGGGGGGAGTTGCTCTGACTCTGCACGCTCTGCACCATGGGATGGAGAAGGTCCAATGCTTTCGGTTCTGTCCTCTGGGTATTGCAGGAAGAGAGAAGAGCCGCAGATTTAATCTCAGCACTGTGATCTTTACTTTTGTGTAAAAAAAGTATTTGGCACCCGCCCAAAGCTACGCAACTTGAGCATGAAACACAGCATTTCAATGGAGGTGCACTCCCCTTGAAACAGCCGAATATGTATCTGTATAACCCTATATTTCCCGCTGAAATGCGTTTAAGCAACACTTAGTTGTGAAGCAACCGATCAATCAACCTCAAATTCACACCTGATGTTGCGGTATGTTTCAAACTAGGGGGGTGACCCCCCAAACTCCATGTTTTTTGCCTCGCTTCCCTTTTAAAGCCATCCAAACACGGGTGAGTCACAATCAACACTCGTGTATACGAAGGTTAGTAATGGACATGGTTCTGGGTCCCGGCCATTTTTAGTACCGGGTGCGCCTAAGAAGGAGCGCACAAGAAGAAACCACGAGCGCCCACGCCCCGCGCTCCGTTTTTCTCTCCGAAAAACCGTCTGAGGCCGCCCCGGTGCTGGAGGTCCGGTACCGGGACCTGGGCATCCCCAATGCCACAGCCGTGCTGTGCCTCGGCTGAGAAAACAGCCCCTTTTCTTCGTGGTTTGATGGAGAAACCAACAGGAAGCCCACCATTTTGGGGGAGCCAGGCTTTGATTATGACTCATGTGGGGGTTGATCAATATTCCCTTCAGCGCAGTTTTGACCATGGGTAACTTTGCCATGTGGGCAATATCATCTTTTCAGTGGTTTTCCCCAGTGGTCATCCTATGTAAAGGACCTTGTAAACGGCGGGGGGGCGGGGTAGATACCCCGAAAGTTGAGAGTTCTGACTGCGGTTTCCTTGAGCTAGGCGAAACAGGTACTCAACAAAAAGACATTTTCTTGCATTTCTGCGGTCAAGCAGACATGCACAATGTGGGGAGAGGGTAAACAGCAGAGAAGGAGCCGCACTTGAGTAAAAATGGGTGCCTTCTTCGAAGGAGATAGGCAAACCACTTGTCTTGCGGCTGCTCCGTGGTTGATGGCTGTTACTGGCTGATCGGCTTTCGACAGGTTAATTTCCGCCGGACCATGGCTGAAAAAGCTGATGTGTTCCAAATGACACGTCCCTGCGCCAGTTGGACGAACAACAAAATGGCGATGCCTCTTGGGGGAAGAATCTGCGAGATCCTCCAACTTGACTCCCCTCGTATCCCATCCAAGGCTGGAGAATTATTTTACGGTGGAGGAGTGCGAGAGATACTTCCAGGCCGGGAGGGGTTTGGATGTTTGGCCAACAATGCACCCCTTTGCCGCTTTGGCCAAACAAAAACCATGGTTGACCGCACGTTGTTTACCAAACCCCTCTAAACATGGTAGTTGCCTCTTTTTTTCTTTTTCTTGCCATCTTTGCCTTCCCTTTTACCTAAGCACCAAAGAATGTCTCAGTTTTCACCCGACCCCCTCCGCTTGCAAGTTGGCATAGCGAGAATCGTCGAGGTCCTGACCACGGAAATCGACTGGAAAAACCAGCTGGTGAACGTGAAGAGTCCGGGGCTTGGTGTCCCAAAGGGGTCGAACCGTAGAGCAGCTCTCCTTGCGCTGCCCCAGAGGTGCGGAGGATGGAGAGCGCTCCACCGTGGACGAGCCCCGACGCACCATCTTCATGTCAGACCCAGGCCAGGGTTACCAAGAGCTGCAAACCGCAGGCTTTCGGTCTTTGTTTCCATTTACCAAGGGGGCCACTGTGGGTACATTTCTTCATGGCACGGCCATTTGGAGATGGTTTCTCTTTGAACCATCTAGTGAATGGGCCCTACTGAGCGCCTCTCCTCAGGCTGACCGGACCGCCGGTCTCAGCCAGGCATTTGCTACGAGTACTCCGGGCGTGACAACGTGGGACAGAGATGGCATCCTGCAGTGCTCGAAATCAAGGGCAAGGCAGGGTACCTGAAGGTGCAACACGCGCTTTCCGTGTCGCAAAGGAATCCCTGGCACTAGTGCCTCGCTTCGACGTTGCATATTCTGATTGCCATGCCAATTGGTGGCAAAGAGATGCCTTTTGTATTTGAGACTCAATATATAATATAAGCCTGGTCAGTGTCGCTGTGCGCCTTACCAGCCCTTAGTCAGATTTGTCAACAAATTTCTGGGGCTGGAAGATGAACCAGCCGATCTTGCAGGCTTCCCTGACAGCCGTTGATCAGGATGGTTCGGGAAGCCACCCCAAAGCCCAAAGCTGCTGTTCCGTGAAAAAGAAAACCACCTTGTGCAGACGCTCATGGGACAAAATCAAGCCACCAGAAGAAAAAAAAAGCAGGCTTTGGTCCTTTTGGTCCGTTCCATTTTCCAGTTTTGGGGTTGCCAATTCCAGGCAGAGGAGGCCCTGGCGAGGTGCGGCCTGCCGGAGGCGGCCTCGTCTTTTGGGGGTTGGTTTGAAGGGAAGGGACGCGGTGGCGAAAGAAAATCAGCGGGACCCATTTGGAGGGTCCTGACAGGAATCAACGATGTAAGAGGTCTAGTATCCGTCGGAGCCGGCTTGTTTTGTAGCCACTTGCTGACTCAACAGCCCAGCTGAGCAGAACTTAAAAACTTATTCCAGACGAGCGATGGTGCGAGCACTCGTGTTCATGGTGCAGGTTTGCCTGTGCTTTGGCCAGTCTTGCTGGAATGGATTTCCGGATGGAAGAGTCTTTACTCCCGGCATGCTGGTCTTGCCTATGGGCCAAGATGAGTGCACCACTACCACAACGGGAACGATGACGGCCACCACTTCTACGTCATCAACCGCCACCGTCTCTGTGACAAGTGTCACAACGACCAGTATGACGGCTACCGCAACCACAACAACCAGCATCACGGACACAACTGTAACAAGTACCAGCGTTACAGCAACAACGATTACGACCACAGCGACCACTGTCACGGCCACGACGGTGACAACAACAAGCATTACAGCCACAACTGTAACAAGTACCAGCGTTACAGCAACATCAGTTACGACCACAGCAACCACTATCACAGCCACAACTGTGACAACAACAAGCATTACAGCCACAACCGTGACAACGACCAGTGTTACAGCAACAACAACTGTTACCACATCAACCAGTGTCACAGCCACAACTGCAACAACCACGAGCGTCACTGCCACCACCGTTACTACCACATCCGCCACTGTCACTACGACTACTCTCACTACGACCAGTCTCACTACAACCAGTCTCACTACCACCAGTCTGACGGCGACCACAATTACCACCACAGCTACCACACAGACAACCACAGCTACCACAAAAACAGAGACCATGACATCATCGACCATCACGGCATCGATGACATCTACCGCGACCACTACGACGACCCTCATCTTGGGCTGCAGCACGCCATTCCAGGTGAATGGTACCGGGGAGGAGTTCCAACAGATCGACAGAGCTGCGAGTTCAAGCTGCGATGGGTTGAGCGAGTCCTCGTTCTGCAATCTTGCCATTGGTGCCGGGGATGCCTCATCATTGTCTGGCTGCCTGGTGGCTGGACAGTATGAGTGGTTCTGTCCCAAGAATCTGGTCACAACAGATTTGTATGCTGCACAACCCTACATCCAATGCCGTGCTTGCAGCGGCTCATATGTGGACACCGATGACAAACTTGGAGATTTCAGCGGCATGTTGACCTTCGGCCCGAACATGAAGAATGGCAGTGTGGATGAGACCATGGTGGACTTCTACGTCGCCTTCGCAGCGGATGATTGTGGTCACCTTCATCGCTCCAGTCCGCTTGCGATTGTCTTGAAGTCCTTGCCGAATTCTGAGTGCTGCGAGCACTCGAAGTACTCCGTGGAGCTCAACTTGACCAACTTCAGTTTCACGCAGCTCGTGGTGGTCCCCGGCGCGGTGAATGCCGGTGTACCATCTTTTCTTGATGACGGCCTGGTGATCCCCTTGATTGATTTGACCACTACAACAACCTCGACCGTCACAGCTACCACGACTGTGACCATGACCCAGACGACAACAAGCACCATCATCGTAGATGATGCTGCACTTTCCGGCTCCTCGAAGATGGAACTGGGAGCTTTCCTGGGAGCCGCAGTTCTGCTTTCGCTGATGGCATGAGAGAATGAATTGTCTGTGACCCTTGTGTTTTTGTCTCGAAGCAGACGCACTACGACTGTCAACCTTGTTCAAAGCACTCTGATCGCATTTTGTCAGTCCTGCAGGCACAGCGGAGATACAATACGTACCCGAGTTATCAGGCAGGCGATTCATAATGGAAGGTAGCCACGGCCGAAGACCGGCTAGGCTGTCCTACCAAAGAGGCATGGGTGCAGTCAAAAGAGGCCGGAGACGAGGGCTTCGGAGAAGTTTCTTCATGAGACACAACCAATGTTTGCGGAGGTAGCATACCGATTTAGTACCACGACCAAAAGGCAGCTACCTTCTTGGTCCCTTCCGATGCATTTCCACAGCCTGCGAGAGATAGCCCTATGGCACGACGTTCTTGGACCGGTTTGCACGCCAGTGGTGATGTGTATGGGACTGTGGACGAACTTAGAATTCCACCAAGGTGGTTTTCAATTCGGCGCAGATGAACCGCTACGACTTCCCGCGGCATACGCTGTGACCTTAGGGCTCACATGCAGTCCAAGACACGGGTGTAACACAGACACACACACACAAACAGACACAGGCACCCACACGCACACAGACACAGAGACACAGGGATACAGAGACACAGAGACACAGAGACGCAGAGACACAGAGACACAGAGACACAGAGACACAAAGAGACACAGAGACACCGAGACACAGAGACACAGAGACAATGAGACACAGAGACACACAGCCACACAGCCACACACGCAAAGAGACAGAGACACACAGACACAGAGACACAAAGAGACACAGAGACACAGAGACGCAGAGACGCAGAGACGCAGAGACACAGAGAAAGAGAGACACAGAGACACGCAAGACACAGAGACACAGAGACACACAGCCACACACGCACAGACACAGAGACACAAAGAGACACAGAGAGACAGACACAGAGACACAGAGACACAGAGAGACGCAGAGACACAGAGACACAGAGAGACAGAGACACAGAGAGACGCAAAGACACAGAGACACAAAGAGACACAAAGAGACACAGAGAGACAGAGACAAAGAGACACAGAGAGACAGAGACACAGAGACACACAGCCACACACGCACAGAGACAGAGAGACACAAACACAGAGACACAAAGAGACACAGAGACCCAGAGACACGGAGACACAGAGACACAGAGACACAGAGACACCACGGAGACACAGACACACGCCGAGCCACAGAGACACAGAGACACATGGACACAGAGACACCGACACGCAGACAGACACAGAGACACAGAGGCATAGAGACACACAGACACACAGAGACAGAGACGCAGACACACAGAGAGACACAGAGACACAGAGACACAGAGACACAGAGACACAGAGACGCAGAGACGCAGAGACATAGACACAGAGACACCGACACGCAGCAGACACAGAGACACAGAGGCATAGAGACACACAGACACACAGAGACAGAGACGCAGACACACACACACACACAGAGACACAGACACACATGGAGACACAGAGACACAGGGACGCAGAGACACATTGACACATGGACACAGAGACACCGACACGCAGCGAGACGCAGAGACACACAGACACACAGAGGCGCAGACACAGCGGCACAGAGACAGAGATACAGATACAGACACACACACACAGAGACGCAGAGACGCAGAAGCCGACACACAGAGCCTCAGAGACACAGACACAAAGACACACAGACACAAAGACACGGAAAAAAAGACACACACACACACATCAAGTTGACATGCCTTGGCTTGAAGCGAAATGGAGGGCGAGACAGGCCTTTTTGCGTGCCCGGGTCCAAGCTAAACGGAGGGGCCTCTGTTGAGGCTGGGAATGCACGCGGACAATGAGCCGGACCTGGATAGAGATGCACCCATCGTATCCGTGTAAACCTCGGGCAAGATTCGATTTTTTCTCGGATTCGTCGCTTGTTTGCGGAGGTAACATAGCGAGCGCTTTTGGCAAACCCATTCAGGTGAGCTTTGGAGCCACGCGGGACTTTGTGATCCAGGCGCGGGCGTCAAGCAACTTGGATCAGCATCGTACGACACACACACACACACACACGCACACGCACGCAAGGGCGCATTTGGCCATTCTTTGCATTGCTTACTAAGTTGCGGGGAGTTGTCAGGACAAGGCCAACGAGAAGCAGAAATGGGCTCGCGGCCTCAGATTTTTTGCCAAAACGGCTTAAACGGATCTCAGGTTGGTCAGTCCAGTTTTTTGATCGACAGAGAGCGTTGCAAGTTTCTTTGAACCAAGTTCGAGGAGCCAAGTCTGTTTTCAGCTTTGCCTTCCTGAGATCGTGCCCCTAGCGGACGGCGCCTGGTTTGTGATGGGTGGCCTGGCCGAGCCGGGCGAGAGGTTTCGGCTGGGAACGTCTTCCGTGTTTCACGTGGCATTGCCCCAAAGGTCCCGAGGGTGGCTGGGGGAATCTTGCGGGGGTACAAGGCAGTGTTGGCTCGCAAGAATGATTTGTGTCTACAGAGAAAAAAGGCGCTTGAGAAGTCCCACCTCCGTTTTTCACTTAAAAACAAATTAGCATTCTCACCGCTAGAAAATTCTCACATACTCTCAATATGGTCATCACCCCCCCCATTTCTCATCCCACTCCCCCACTCCCCACTGCCTCTGGCCGTGCGGAAAGGTGGCGCCATGCAGCAGCAGTACCTCCATGGGGTGCCAGCGGCCCAAGACATTTGCGGTGCTGGGTTGCGGGTCGGCGATTCGGTCAGCCCATTTTTTTTTCCTGTTCTTATCCCTTGGATTGTTTTCCTTCTTTTTTTTCCTTCTTTTTTTTCTTTCTCAGGTCTGGTTCCCTGGCTAGCCGGCCGGTTGGTTGGTTGTTTGGTTGGTCTGGTTGGTTGGTCTGGTTGGTTGGTTGTGGTTGGTTGGTTGGTTGGTTGGCCGCCTTGCTTCTCACCTCCTGGGTTTCCGAATATTTTCGGTTCATAAATTGATTGATGCATGGGATGGACCATGTGACCTTCTTAGCTCATGGAGTCAGTCAGAAGTCAACAACCATGATCCTTGCATTTCAGGTCAGTTTGCTTAGAAATAGATGCTACTGGTTTCGGTTTGATCCTTGTCTTTTACCAGTGCAATCCATTTCCCGAGAGGACTCCTCCAACATTGCTGGTATCTTCATTATTTCTAGGCTTGCTTTTCCATCCATTTCAACATTATTTGCTTCAATATTATTACCACTATGTTGTTCTCGCTTTGACTCACATGTGTCGCAGGTATCTCTATCACTATCCATATCCATTTTACATTCGACACATTTATTCGCTGTTTCGGTTGAGAACGGCAAGGCCCCATGGTGGAATGGCTGGCACCCGCATCAACCTCACCTTCCGAGTGCCAGCCTCGGTGCCGGCGGCTCCGTGATGATGGCCCATTTGACTCATGAGCTTTCGGGCAATCTACTGTGGATGGTTGCTAAGTCCATGTCGCACCGCCTAAGAAACTATGGTTGAAACCAAAACGTTTGTTGGTGTTTAGGGTTTCTTAGGTGTGCGAAATGGATTTCGAAACCATCCACACCATGCACTCCATGGTCAGTTTGGGGAGCGGGGCTTGCCAGAATTCCCCCACACGACCAGGCACGTGCTAGAGCTTCCCAGCTTTATTGACGGATCTCGACCAGTTCGAAGTTGGTCTCAAAAGTCGCTATGGCCCTTTGCCACAGTTCCGTGAATCCTGCCAGTAAAAGTTGGATCTCGAGAAGGTCACCCCCTCGAACCAGCAAGACGTATTCCTCGCGAAATGATGCTTCCCAGAGTTTAGGCCACGTGTAAATGTGCCTTTTTTTGGAGAGTACCCTTCTTTCCTTTTGTTTTTTCAAAACACAGGGACACAAACCCATTTCGGGGGTCCATTTGGAGAGAAATGCACATCTGGCTATGTGTCCGATTGAGGTGTGTCGGCCGAGGGCATGACGTGGCTCTCCGCAGGCCGGGCTGGTCCAATCTGCCGCTTGAGCCAACCATTTGTCAAAGTCGTTGCCATTGAGTCTTGTTGATTGCGGGTTGACTGTTTCTGGAAGGGCATGTTTAAGACCTTGCAGGAAGAATCGGAGCTGTTGGGAGTGACGATAGGATGATATGTTTTTTGGCATCCGGTTTAACAGACTGCCATGGTATGATCCCCGCTTTTGGCTAGGTGTCATAAGGGCAGTATGCATCGAGCACTGGTTGAATGCAGCCTTGCGGGCTCAAGCAACATGGTCCATCGCATGTGTCATGCGCAATTCCCGGCAAGATACGACTTGCAAATTGGGTAGGCTTCTTCGACTTAATGTAAGCCTTTGGTTTTGGGACTTAAGCCACATCATAGTTGGCGAGAACCCTTCGAGGTGGTCAAAGCCGCGCTGAAGAAGGATTCCCGAAGTATCAATTGTTGTTCCATGAACAAATCTGCAATGTCAGTGAAGACGAGGCTCATGTGAGACAGGTGCCGATGGACCCAAATGCGGGTGTCCTGGACTTGCAGAGAAGTGAGTCTCTGCAGGCTTTGGTGCGGTGGCATGAGCAGGGCCAGAAGCGGCTTTCTGTTGGTCTGGAGTTGGAACCTCGGACACGTGGGCCATTTTTGTTTTCCCGCGGCAGCTAAGGTCTAAGTGGCGCTGGAGAAATAGATTTTGGCCGCCATTGACATGCTTGGCTTGTCTTCCCAGCTGAAAGCTATGGGGTCTCTGGATTCGGGGATCTGATCCAGAGGGTTCTGCGTCGGATTTCGGTGCCTTCCTTCGCCGGCCGCTTCCGCCTCGGCGAGGAATGCTTCCTGCCGGACCTGGGGGCCCTGAGCCCGGAGCGCCTGGTGCCCGCGCGGGAGCCCAAGGAGCTCTTCGCGCTGGTGGCCAAGGTGCTGTCGGACCGCATGGGCGAGCGAGTGCGGGTGGGCCAGGCCAGAGATCCGTTTTTGTTCAACCGAGACATGTTTGTCATGTCCTTTTCCAGCAAGGGCGCCCAGGCTTTTTTTGTTTGTTTTTACAGGCCTTGCTTTGTTTGGCCCTGAAGAACCCTGTTTCGAAGCACAGACATGTTGGACGGATTGTTTCAGAAGATATCGGGACCCAGATCCACAGCACGATGTTCGGGAAATCTCTCGGCGCCGCGCAGTAGAAAACCCACAGCCAAAATGTGAAGCACCCAACACCACAATGTTAAGCACCCCTGACAAAGAGAATGCCCGCCCAAAGAGAACACCCAACACCAAAATGTAAAGCACATCTTTCAAAAAGAACACCCCCCGGGAGGACACCCAGTGGCACAGTGTGAAGCACACCTGACAAAGAGAACACCCACCCCAGGAGTACAACATGCGAAGCGCACCTGACAAAAGGGACACCCGCCCCAGAAGAACTCCCACAGCCACAGTGTCAAGCACCCCTCACAAAGAGGACACAAGCCGCAAGAGAACACCGCACCCACCGCGAACGCAGGAAAGTCATTTGTCAAACTCAGCCCCAGCAGAACACCCACCACAAAAGTGTCCATCTGACCAAGCGGAAGCAGTGTTTGAAGCCAATGTAGTTTCCGAACCAGAGTAGTTTCCGAGCCATGGTTTCCGAATAAAGGTAGCTTCCGAAACGAGACCGCGTGGTGGTGGAAGCAACACGAGTTTCCGCAACAGTAGTTGAACCATTTCTTCGATCCGGCTTGGCTTCCAAAACGATGAATGTCCAAACCATGGTTTCCGAGCCAAGTCTCCGGGCAGGCAGTGTCGGCGGAGGCTTGTGACTGGGGCCGCTTGTGGACGGCAACGGCGGATGGGTCCATCCAGCCAGAGGGGAAGAACCCCTTCCCGGTGGAGTTGGTGTCCAAGCGCATGGGCTTCCAGGACTTTGACGTGAACCTCTTCTGCGACCTCACGGCCGCGTTGCGCCAGGCGCCCCTGCGGGCCGCCACCAATGAGTCCACGGGCCTGCACGTGCACGTGGGCCGGTATCCGGGCTTCTTTTCGGTGGAGGAGCTGGGGGCGATACTCAAGGCGTACTTGCGCTTCGAGCCCGCCATCAACGCGCTGCTGCTGCCGGTGACCAGGCAGCGGAACCGCTTCTGCCGCGACTTCCGGGAGGTCTTGGGCCGCGCGCAGGGCCTGGGCCCCGCTGCCTCGGATGCGGCGCTCTTTGAGGTCATCGACCGCGCGGTGGCCATGGTGAAGAACCTGAGCCCCGAGGTGCGCGCGGCTTGCGTTGAGGGCTGCCGGGTGACTGTGACCAAGGGCGACTTGATGTTGGCGCTGCTGGGGGAGGCGGGGCTGTGGCGCCTGAAGCGACCTCTGCAGGCCACGTGTGAGGGCCGCCAGCTGCTGCTGCCCGCAGGCACCACGTTGACGGAGCTGGCCGCCAGAGGCCGCCGCCTCTGGTGGCCGCCCACCTGCAAAGACCTGCAAGCCCTGTGGGGAGAGGACGGGGACGCCTCTCCGCTGAACGCCAGCGAAGTGCCGACGCCCTGGACGGCCATGGAGGCTTTGGATGACCAGGATCTGGTGCAGTGCGTCTTTCAAAAACCGGAGGAGGTGCCGGAGGCCAGCGTGGATCACTGGCTACTGAGGGATGCCCTGATCATGGAGCGGCACGGCGCAAGGTATTGCAAGCTGAACATCATGCGAATTGCGCAGGCTAGCGAACGTGCGACCATCGAATTCCGGCAGTTTCCCGGCGGCGACTTCAATCAGCCTTTGCTCATCTGGGGTTGGGTGAAGTTTCTGGGGCTTTTGGTGACTCACGCCTGCGCCTGCATGGGAGGCGTCACAGGAGCTGAGCTTCCGAAAGAGGCGTCTGCAGAGGAGCTGAAGCGGTTTCTGCAGCTGTCCACAGACAGCTTGCTGCTGGCCTGGTTCAGAGACCTGCGCAATCGTCTGCCCAAGCCGGAAGTCGCCCTGGCCAGCATGCGGAGCAACTGGGAGCGCCTCTGGTCCCAGTGGGCCCAGCAGGCGGAGCAGATCACAGAGGCGGACGTGATCAGCTTACAGGCAGGGCGCTTGACCGCCGCAGGCCGGCGCTGGCGCCAGATCTTCCAAGCGGCCTCGGGCATGAAGGCCATCTTCAACGCCTCGGACCCCGTGTGGGAGCCGCTGAGCTCTCGCCGGGCCACCTGCGAGGCCTTCATGCAGCACTTGTACCGGGCCATCTTGGTGCGCTTCGAGCGCCACGTGAAGCTGCTGAGCGCCGCGGAGGAGATCTCCCGTCGCTGCTCGCTGGCGACGCTGGTCAGCGCCTGCGTCTTGGACCGCCGGCTCCGCCGCAGCGGCGCGGAGCTCCGGGAGCTCCAGGCCACGGTGGCCGAGACCCTGGGCTGGGAGGCCTGCGACCCGCAGCTGGGGGCCGCCATCGCGGAGAAGGGCCGCCGCGGCGCCGAGCTCACCGTGGACTACGCCCGGAACTTGTTGGACCACTGCGAGAAAGCCGCCCAAAGCTTCGCCCACGTTGGCCATGGCGCTTCGGGCCCTGGCGAGACCCAGGAGTTGGAACGAGCGCGCACTGCGCGGGCCTGGGCATCCCCGGCACTCGTGTGGCGGACCTACTACGAGCTTTGCGAGCTGCTCGTGCCACGTGTGGATGAGGCGGTGCACGTGTGGACCGCTCTGGCGCAGCGGGGCTGGGACACGGAGAGGGTTAACTCTCTTTGGCCCCGCGTTTGGAGCTGCGGACAGGCGGCGGCGTTTTCCCTGGCTGCGGCATGGTTTGCGAGTGCCAAGGAAAAGATTCGGTTCTGATCGCAAGAGTTTCTGCTGTTCGATGTCGAAGGGTGCTTTTGGCGGCTTGATCGGAGCAGTGACGTATTCCAGTGGGGGCTGTTTCACCTGATCCCTAGCACAGCTTGCGAAGCTAAAGCATTATCCATTGTGCAAGTAGTTCGTTGCAAGCACACAACTTACCATTGTTTGATCCGACGCCACCCTGCAGGCCAATCTGAAATGCGGATTGCGCGGGGGCTTCTGAGTAGTTACATAACTGGCCGCCAATGTTCCAGCCGAAACAGGTGCTTGTTGACACGCCGGGTGGGATTCGTGCTGCAGGGTTCATGTGTTCTACAGCATGTATCTCTTCGCAGCTTGCTTTTGGATAGTTACAGTCTTGAATCAGTTGGTTGCCTCTTGTTCAAATGATATCTTGCGCATTGAGTCTGAGTGGACCAAGCCAAAGCACATGGTAGAGACAGACGGGGGCGTACTCAACAAGTATTTTGCGTTCACACGCACACACAAACCGCAGAGATGTCAAAAAGTCACGAAGCAAACTGGCGATGCAGTTCCAAGCAGATGGTGACATGGTACTGCATTGTCTCTGCAGAGGGTCCAGCAACCTTTAAAAGCAGCCACAACAGCTTGTATTTTACCCCCCCCCCCCCCCGATGGCTGCCTGACGTGGCGCAGGCTTAGCCGTGCGGTAGATGCTTTAGCGGCCCTTCAGCCCAACTTGCTTGATGGACCGCGACCAGAACGAGGCACGAAAGACTTTTCCAGCCGCATTTGGCTGCCGCTTCTGTCGCTTTTTGGAGGTGCCAGCATCGAGGGCTGTCTGAATGAGCAGCATAAGTACACGAGCACTTTTTACCGCGCCGAAGCTAGGCCCGCTGTGTCTTTAGCCCGGTTGAACCAAGAGAGCATGGTCATGCTGACAGTCTGCAGTTTTGTATGCCGAGCGAAGTTGAAGCAGACAAGTGAGTGTGGCTCAAAATTACACAGGAGGGGTTACGCAGGTTTTGGTCCATGTTTCCACTTACCAGGGTTACCAGGGTTTGGTACCGGTTTTTTGAGCCACAGCCAAGTAAGCAAGCAAGTATGTGCGCATGTCTGTTTGTTCGTTTGTTCGTTTGTTCGTTCGTGTTTGTGTGTGTTTTGTGTCCAACAAGGCAACTTGAGATTTTAACCAGGTGACAGCGGCTGACGTATTGGTATGACGCCTGCCCTGAGGGTATTCCTCTATCTCCAAACTATTATACATATCATATGGGGTGTTTTTTTCTTTTGCGGCTACCGCCATTTTGGTCATAAAGGACACCAACAGAAAAATCCACATTTCTTGGTCCCCTAAAACCAGACCCCGCCCTTTCGCCAACATGGCTTCCCAGCTGGGGGCACCCGGACCTATACGCGTACGCGACTTGAGGCGCGGGCCACGGAGCAAGCGATCTTGAATGACCTGGAGCGGACCTTTGCCGATATGCCCATGGCCGAGCTCTCAGATGCCCGGTATTCCAAATGGACTCACCAAATCAATAGGTTTTCCTTTCTTTTTTTCTTCTTTTTTCTTCTCCGTATGTCCAAGGTGTAAGCCGACCTTGGACAGTGCCCCATCCTGATTTTCTTTTCGACTTCCAGTGTTTTTTTTGGCCGACCTCCACCTCAACTGGGGAAACACATTTGCCATGTACATGATGGCCAACGGGTGCCCCGTTCGGTCGGCTTGTGGGCCGCAGGTGGCGCCACGGAAGCCCCAGATCTTCCGGATCCTGCAGGCCACCTACGGTTTCACAGGTCCACCGGCAAATTGGGGGTTGTGGGTCCCTTTTGTTCCGGGGGAAAGGAAAAAGACATGCTGGAACCAATGGAAACCCCTTAAGACTTCGACAGTTGTTGCGGTGTTTCCATCATCTTCTGGCGGATTTGAAGGCCCTTTGCCCACCCCCAACTCCCCAACCGGTGAGTTCATTCAGGACTTCGCGAGCGGCAACCCGGACATCGGCTACACCCAGGGTATGCCTCCGCCTCAGCTGGTGTCTGGCGTTTTCCGACGGCAGCGCCTGACGCGTGACTCAAAGTAGGGCCCCATTTTCTGTTGGAATCTGATGGTCTTGCAATGTCGAACTTGGAAGCTGTGCTGAAATGGCTCTGGCAGAAGTAAGTTTCAACGGCTCTGTCGTCCCCTGTTCCAAGCATGGAGAATTCGACCTATGCCTGTCCAACCAAGCAACGAAGGAGCCAACAAATCAACAAACCACAGAAGCCAACAGGAACTACGTGGCCGCTACTCTGGTCCTGAAGTTCCACCCTCGCGAGGACACCGCGCCGCAACCCCAGGTGTTCGACGGGTCGACCTCAGTAGAACTTTAGATGTGGAATGCATTTGCTTTTGCGCGTGTCTTCTCATCTTGTCGAAATCACATCATCAAACTTGCAGAGGGATGCAATGACTTGCAATGTCAATTGCAAACGGCCCGGGGACAGGAGCCCAGAAGCCTTAGCCCCCCCCACCCCAGGATGCAGAATCCAATATTTCTTTGCTTTTTACTTGGAGCCCACCTTATTCGATCTTCTTACCCTAAGGGGCTCTAAGATTCACTTGGGGCTCTATTTTTGTTGAAACTATTTCCACCTTATTACCTGGGGCCCGAAATTCCAGATTCGACTTCGAGCCAAAACATCCTCAGGCGGAAGAAGTTCAACGAGGTGCTTCTGCAGTTCAGCGGCTTTTGGCCTCGCACCCGGCTGGCTTTGGGTTTGGCTTTGAGCATCGAGGTGTTCCTCGGCTTTGTGATTCCTTTGGATCGGTATGTTCTTGGGGTTTTTGGTCGTTAAAGGTTGGTTTGTTCGGGGTTTTGGGTATGTTCTTTGGTTTTTTTGGTAAGTCCTTTGGATCTTGGAGTTTTCGATGATGACTTAGGTCGTTCCAAAAGTGGCAGCACACCCCCTCCCGCCCCTGTGAGCATCACGACCCAATTGCGTGCCGGCTTGTGCGATGGATGGCGACCACGTTTTGAACATAACAAAGCAAGAAGTGCATTTCAGCTTATGCCCCTGTCGAAATCATAACTCACCTTTGTGTGTGGCCTTCGCGGCACAAACCAGCACCAGCAGATCAGCTTTTTTTCCCGTTGAGAAGCCGTCCAAGCAGCTGAAACAAGTTATTTCCAGACTTGTTTTGCCAGACTTATTGAAAGCACGATCCATACAGCTGGGGAGGAATGCCCCGACTTTTCCGAGCTCTTGGCACAACATTTGATGCATGTGCCTCGACATGCAATCATTCACACGAATCCCACCGCGTACGGATGTGCGAATGCCTGTCGCTCTGCGGGTCCTTGGCCCGGAAACATGTGCACTTTCGCTTCTACTAAGCTGGCGAATGGCGGTCCCAAGTGACAGTGCAGAGGGCGCTGCCTGGCAAAAGCATGCAAAAGCGGGTGTAGGCCTGGCGGTGCGTCGCAAGTGCGCTCAGCAGCACAAGCAAGGTGGACTGAGTTTCTACCTTGCGGGTGGGTGGGTGAGTTGCACAAGGCTTTGAGCCAATAGCGGCGGGATTGGATTGTGGATGGATTTGTCGGAATCAACAGCCGGCAGAAGCCAGAAGCCCCCCCCCCCAGGCTGCTGAAGAAACACACTTCAAGCCACCTGCGCGACAAAGCGTTGTAAAAGCAACTATTTTCAGCTACGTGATTTTCACTGGGTTCGTGGCGAGATTGAATTTGTTAGGGGCAGTGCTCCGAGGTCTGATGGCTTCCCGTTGCTTGGAGTCGGAGTTCAACTCTTCGAAAGGCCTGAGTCTACAGTAAGTTACTGCCTAGCAAAGCTTCTTTGCACCCATGAACCTCTAGAATGCAGCACTTGTCCTGTGAGCAGTGTTCCGGTGTTGGGGTTGCCCCAAAATCCATTGCCGCTCCGAGCTTTCGGCTTGAGAAGCCCAGTGGGATCCGGCGAGGCTGGCAGAGCGGCATTTGCCCAACCTGTCCAGCCACTTCAACAGCCGGGGTGCCAAGTCTAGCGCTCCACTTGAAGACTCGAGTTGGCACCGGAAGGCTCCAGGCCCAGGACGGCTCCAATTCGGGGACTCCGTGGTTGATGAGTACGAGATTTGAGCACCACTTCTTTCCACCCATGTGGGTCGTTTGCTGGGAACATGTGCCAGAACCTGAAAAATGCCGCTGACCGATCATCCACATACGTGCAAGTTTGCTGAGGCACTAGGTGCTGCGGCCATGTCAGCCTTGCAATCAAATGATATTTTTTCGGCTCCGTGGCCTCCTGAAGTCCAAGTCAACCCCGTGGCTACCTTCCAAATGATCGGCCTGTCGGTTTCCCAACTTCCCAAGGGAACCACCCACCAAACATAACTTCGGGGCATCTACGCCTCAAACATTGACCGGGGCGCTGAAGATGAATGGAACTGGGAGCTTCGCAACGGGAGGATCCAATTGCTCTTGGGCTGCAAATTGCCCGGACCGGAGGTTGCGGGGTGGAGCCCCTGAGCTACCTACCCAATGGCCCGGAGCCAAGGGTGGCTATTGGGATGGCGCCGGTTGCATGGCATATTGCCCGTGACCTGCCGCAGAAGCGGGGAAAGTCCTGCAAATTCATGGAACCACGCCATTGCTTTGAAGAGAGAGTGAGCGCGAATGCTCCCCTCGGCCAGGCTGGCTGTCTTTGTTTGGCACGCCTGACGCACTTACGCTTGCAGCACGCTTGGTACCTCCAGCGTCCTTTTTTTCTCGGGGAAATCATTGTTGGTCCAGGACTGACAGGAGCTCTATTCTCCGCCAATTTTAACGTTGCATGACCTGTGCCGAGGTTTACACAGTTCCCTTCCGACGGGTCTTAATGCTTGCAGGGCTTTCACGCGTGAGCTTTCGGGGGCATGCCACAGTCTTGGCTGACGCCAGGCAAGTGGTTGCCGCTGCCTGCTGTAATAGAGGTCAGCAAATGCCTCGTTTCCGAGGGGGATGTCTAGTGCGTCAATTCAAATTAATGAACCTGGCTTGGTCATTTTGGCACATCCTTGGTTATCCCCCAACTTGTCAGTGACTGCTTTGGACCTGCTCCCGCATCCGTGTTTAACGGCCAGACGCGAACTCAGTGGCACTTTCGGACTTTGGACTCTAGAAGACACACACCCATTTTGCAAACCACGGTCAGGATAATTGCAAATGTGTCTGTCTCTTTTCGAGGGTACCTATTTTTTGTGGGTTCACAGGCAAGCCAACAGGAAACCCCGCCTCATGTTCTTCCTTCTTCTATTCTTTTTCAGGGGGAGCCAAGAAAAGACAGGCTCCAAAAAACCCGCCGCTTTTCGCACCAATGGCACTCCCTCGAAACACGAGTGCGACACCTGCAGGCCATGGATTTGTGCCTGGAGTCTGGGCTTCGAGGGGTCCTGGTGCCTGAGCTTCGACAGGGTCCCACGACCCGTGGGATCCGTGGGGTGGGGGGGGGTTTGGTTGGGTTTGGGTTGAGGGTACCGTTTTGGGGCTCAGTTTTTTTTTGGGGGGGGCGTTGGTGGGCTCATAGGAAACCACCAGGAACACCGAAGCCCATGTTGAAAAGGTGTCTCATTTAAGAGGGACTCAGGGCTTTGGAGGAAACGGTCGCCATGAAGCGTATCCAACTCGTCACTCGTTGAGGCAGTGACGCTGGCCTTGTTCCAGATGCAGCAGCGGCGACTGGTGGCCGCTCGGGGCATGGAACATGTGCCCGGGAGCCTACCGCGCGGCGCTCTCATCGGAAACCATCCAAAAGGCTCCACGACTTAACGGCTTGAGTTGGTTTCTTGGAAGCTGTGGACAAATGCTTTGCTTTGCGACAGGCTTGTGATATTGTTATCTTCTACCCGGGAATACATGGTTAGCTATTCCGGTACATGTATGTGGGTCAAGTCTGGCTTGGCCAATGTGTGGTGGACTTTTTTGCCGGATGGTAATCTGGACCAAGGCAGCGCCGCATTTTCGCATTGCCAACATTCACATTTTGTCCTGAACATAGGGGGGCTGCATGATCTCGTTCTCTCTTTCTCTCTCTCTCTCTCTAGCTCTCTCTAGCTCTCTCTGCTCGACACAGGTTTTCTGTCAAGCAAAATCCGGGGCTTGCCAAGACGCCTGCCCAAGCGAGGTTGTGGCCTTTCCCCACTCATGGCGCCGTGCTGCTTTGAGTCAGTGCTTGAGCACCTTTACCCCAAGGCCGAAGACAGTGAGCCCACCATGTATCAGTGTCTTGTTCACAGGCTCGGCGACACCCGCTTCGCTGCCCTCGCCGGCAGTCATGAAAATCTGTCCGACAAGATGGTGACACCCAACCCATACGACATGGACTTTGAAGATATTCGTTTCCCGGCGGATGGAGTGCAGACAGCGGGTGCACTGCGGCAAAGTCCTCAATGCTTGCCATCGGAAAGCCGTCATGGTCCTGTGCGAACAAGTCTGGAACTCCGCCCCATGGCTGAGTCCGGGTTGATCCATCGACTATCCTGAAGCTGCAACAAGGTCGTGCATGATGCCGGCTTCCGTGTGGCTGTGGGTCAAACAGGGGTACCCAAAATGGAACCCTGGTAAATGGAAACGTGGACTAAAGCCTGCGGTCCCCTGGTTTAATTTTGACCCATACCCATGTCGTGGCGTATGATTTGAACAATGGACGGACGGCCTTGCTTTCCTTGTGCGTTTCCGGGGTGTACTTGAAGTGGAGAAGTTCGAGAACGTTGCTGCGTGGGCCACCACCAACATCTTTGATGGACCTAGAATGCTGGCCAATTGGCCATACATGTTTGCAGGCAATGTGAAGCTTGTGACTGAAGCTCAAGAGAAAGCGGGGCTTCTGAAGAATCAGCAAGGTGTTGCTGGACTTTGATGGCAAGTACTGCCCTTGATGACTCTGATTGCTTTGCACAGACATCCTGGAAGTCAAGAAGAGGTAGTTTTCATGCAGCGGTAGAAATCCGCAGCAGCAGGCACGATAGTTTCTCTTCATGTACAGGCGAAAGAGAACAAAAAGGTCGCATTTCAATTGAATCCTCATTGCAATCAACAGGAGGCTCGCCTTTCTGGGGATTCAAACTTCAACATTTTTACCAAAACGGTTACATGGGGGTTGATCAATATCCGTGGCCCCAAAATGAGCATAGGTAACTTTTCCCCAGGTAAAGGCCCTTTTGATCAATCTTATGGACGAAGGGCCCAGGCGTTTCTCTCGAGCCAAAAGCAGATAGCTCATCAACCCCGGCGAAGGCTGGAGCTCATCAACCAGGACATGCGCACCTCGCCCATTGACGGGGAACTGCTGGTGAAATGCGCCCGCCAGTGGCAGGGAGCCGAGCTTGGGTATGGTCGTGTGTTCTTTAGATGGTGTGGATGTTCTATATGGTACCCATGTGGGTGTGTATTTGTTTCATGTTTCCCGTTTCTTTTTTTTTCAGGGACGGCGAAGGAACACCCCCCCCCCCCCAGGATCCTTGAAAACAAAGACACAAAAAAACCGGTTCCTTGACTTGCGGTTAACGGGGATGGTCGTTTACCTGGGAGTAAGGACCCTTGACCATCACAATGATTCCTATCAAGCGCACCATGACCCAATCGGTCACAGAAACGGAGCTTTGACCATGGCTCATATGCATGTATCATTGCTATCTCCAAAATTCAAAGGTGCGAACTGGAGGCTTCGTTTTAAGGGGTCGCCTTTGTTTTAAAGGGTTTTAGCCCTATTCCGGAGTTTTTGGGGATTTGCCTGGTGCCGAGGCTCTCTGTGGTCAACGATGCGGTTGCTGAGAGCTGCGGCATAGACGATGAAATGCCGGAGATGCCGTGGGACATGCCATGAGCGCTGAGCGCTGTGCGAGAGGGGCAGTAGCGTAGCTTTGTCTTGCCTGTTGTTGATGCATGTTCATTGTTACTGGTTTTGATGTACGTATTGTATATACATACACATCAATATCGATGTACACAGACACGTAAATGTACACGTTGAAGTTGCCAAATGTTGCCAGGCCAAGACACGGCTAGGCCAATGCACAGGTAGTGAAAGCGGAGCGCTGTTGGTTGGTGTGGCAGGCTCTATCAATCAAGTCGTCAACAACATCATGTTGCGCCTTTCGGATCAAATGCGAGATTCAACAAGCAGTTGCTTTGCATTTGGGTCCAATTTTTGGCAACGTGGTTTGCACCCCAGCTGGATCCGAGACGACTCTTGCCAAGCGGACCGCAGAGCTCACTTCCGGACACCGGACGTCTCGCCGTCTCGCGGGTTTGGCGTCCAAAGCACGGGATGTGTTGCAGACTTGCGCCTGGTCGGATGGGACATAGCATTGAGGTGGTTGCCCTCCGTGGAAGGTTTTCCGACAAAAGAACCCCAAATAAACCAAAACAACCAACCAGCGCTGGACACGTCCAGTCTGCTGCCCTCTCAACTAGCTTGATGAGGGGGGGGGGAGGGTGGTTGCTTCAAAACCCTAGGTCCAACCCATGTCAACGTGCAAAACCCTTGGCCCCGGTACAGCACATACAGGAACATTGATGCAAGACCACGCCTCGGACTAAGCCAACCGCATGTCCTCATGATTGAGTACATTTACATTCTAGACCGCCTTTGAGTGACTGAAGACAGGCGCTCGGCTCTCACTGCTCTAGGGGATAGGTTTCAACACGTAACAAGCTGTCGCAGATCTGTATATTGTTCTACCATTTGATGTGCTAGGGTAGAACATGCCGGACACAAAGACCTTCTTGCAGAAGAATCCGCCATATCTTGCAGCAGCTAGAAGCCAATTCTGCAGAGACCTTCTCTCGGAAAGCGACTTTTTCCTTTCCTGCGCCATCGAAGCAACATGGTCGGGTTGAATGTGCCTATGGTGCAGTTTTAAGTTCCGCACAAAACAGCACCTCTTTGGCGGTGTGGATTTGTTTGTTAGGTGTTAGTCACTGTTGTTGAAGGAAAGCACGCACTCAAAGCCAGCATCAATTCCATTCGGGTCCTTGCGATAGACGGGCTCAACAGGCCACTCAAATCCAGCCAAGTTCACACATTCACCGCTTGGAAGAATTGCCATGGAGCCAGAGACGAAGATTTGAGGCACTTCGTCCTGCGACGAGCGTTGCAGTGAGTTGCAGCCAGCATGGGCTGAGGGTCAAAGGGGGTCGAGGGGACGTCTAAAGGGTTGTCAACATGATGTCACGGCCCATGCCTTCTTTGGCGTTCCGTTGCAGAGCCCAACCTGGAAACCAAGTTAGCGAAGTTCCAGTTTGCTCTGATTTGTGACATGCACGGGATGAAGGACAAAGGCCAGGAGCGGACTGCGAAAGTGGCCTCTGTGAAGCACATCTTTTTGGCTTTTGGGTTCAGCAGAGGAGGCTCAGTGATCCCTTGAGTTGCATGACCATCCTCAATGGCGATGATGGGGCGTGCCCATTTGGGGTACGTGGTTGGAAGGCGAAAGACGCTTAAAGACGTCAAGAGAGGAGACAGGCCATCGCTCCACACCGAACGTTCATTCTGTTATGTGAGTTTGGCCTCCCAGACACGACCCAAAGCCAGATTGGGTTGAACACGGCTGGCGAACACCACGAACAGCAGCTTTTCTGTTAGCAGACTTGTGGAAGCATCGCGAGCAATTCCACCTGGACGCCATAAGGCAAATTCTGGCATGACTTTGTTAGCAAATAAAGAAACAAACGGAAGACCACAATCAGGATGTCCTTGTTGCCGGCCATACGTTTTTTCATGTTTGTGATCATGTCATAGAGAGCACCCCTTGAGGATATGCATGGCCCTCTGGTTCAAGCGAGGTGATGGGAGAGAGTTTCCACCATTAATTTCCGACAGGGCCCATGTGGGCCTTCAAATCAAACCTTTTGGCATTCACAAATAAACATAGTATTGGTCTGATGTTTGAGCTTTTTAGCTCTAAGCTGACAGTTTCCCCTAGAAGGTCCAAAAGCTTTCGGCAGGATGGCAGAAGCTCCCGAAGCTCCCGAAGCTCCCGAGGCGCTGAGTCGAGCTGAGGTTGGGGCTGGGTTTCCTGACTTGACGCACCTGGGCCAAATGAAGTTGAGAAGTTGAATAGAAGCCCAATAGCAGCGATCTCGATCTCAGAATGAGAAGCCCATCTTCACATGATCGAATTGGGTGATCTCAGCGTCTCAGTCGAATATCGCCGAGCCTTACTAGCTAAGCGCGGGATTGGCTGAATGGGCGTGGGATTGGCTGAAGGTGCGCCCTGAGCTCAACAATATGGTGCTTCAACCCTATTCTGAATCTGAAAAGGGTTTGCACCCATTCTCTGCCTTCCATCTGCTTGTTTGAGTAGGAATGTTAAGCGCCAATCAGCGCCCGGAACAGGCCCGTCATTTTTTTATTTATTTGTTTTAACCACATCTCCGTTCGAAAATCTCAGTAACAAATCAGAGAGCCATTTAACTGTTGCCATTTATTTTTATTTTTTTGGGGGGGGCAATGCACCACAAAGACACCCATTGGGCTAGCCTGCTGACATGCATGTTTGACAGGTGGCCATGGTTCCTTTCAGATTTTCAGAAAATGCCAATCTCCTGGCGACACAATCTATCCACAAGCCTGATCAGTTGAGAGGAGAATCACTAGTTCATATCGAATTCTAGGATCAGGTCTAAGTATGGCCTTCCCCAATACGACGACCTGAGGCTGAGGATTCGAACACAACTATGGCTGTCAATGCATTTCACAGTGATATTCCGACTGTTCAGGAAAGGATGGGTGTCAGTTGAGCATTGTTTCACCCTAGCCCTAGGGTTTGTACCTCAGGCAAACACCGACTCGGGCCTCGGTTTGGCTCCATAAACCAAGCGTTAGGCCATGGAGACCTCCGAGCAGTCCGTGGAGGAGCTGTTGAAGGACGCTGAGTGGACGTGTCTTTTTTTGGAGTTGGTGCCCTCTTTTGGTTGGTTTTACAGGGAGGCCAAGAGGAAAACCGAAGCCCTTTGGGGGTCCCCTTGAAAAAGACACACTCATACAACTAAGTGAATACACGAAACATAGATATAAATACATATATACACATATATATATATGCATATATATGGTACCCCCCCCCCCAAAAAAAAAAAAGAAAAAAAAGAAGAAGAACAACAACAACGCCACCGCAAGATAATTTGACAGTATTTACAGTACTTTTGCGTGTTTGCCCCCCCCTTGTCAGGCACCTCAATTTTGACCATCGAACTATGCCTGCATTTGTGCATTTGACTGCAACTGTATCCACCTAACACACTTTAAAGCGCTTTAAAGCATTTTTGGATCTAAGATTCAAGATTCAAGATCCCCAGGACTCTTGCTTTTGAATCCTGAATCCATGAGCCAACTGGATAAAAGCGCTTTAAAGCGTTTGGGGAGACCCATACTGGATTCAAGATTCAAGAACCATAGTCCTGGGAATCTTGAATCTTGAGTATAAGATCCAAAAGTGCTTTAAAGCGCTTTGAAGCGTTTGCTTGCTGTCATTCCTGCTTGATTGTGCACCTTAGTAATATTTTGAACTTGTGTGCGGGAAATACAGTTGATAGTTCAGCTGGACATTGGACAATTATTTATTTTGATCATGTTTTCGAAATCCACGCCAACCCTTGGGTGTTGAAAAACACACTGTAAATACCAGTATGTTGCATGCGTTTTAGCAGGTTTTGTGCGGCACAGATTTCGTTTTTGAGAAATTAGTCATTTTAGCAGACAGCGTGGCATTGGTCAATGCATATAAGATGTGAGCAGCGTGGCATTGGTATTGGCCAAGGTTTGTGAGCTGAAGGGGATTTGCAGATGAGTTGGGATGAGAGATGGATGCGTAGCGGGTATTGGCACAGAGTTGCAAGTTGACAGACGAAGAGGACTTGCACATCAAGGGAGATGAGAAATCGAAGATGAGTAGGCGAAGCAGAAGAGGCATTGTTTGCTTTACTGTTGATACCCTTGCGCCGGTACTCTCACAGAGATGTTTTGCAGTCAATTAAAGGAGGATAAAGCGAGTGATGAACACTATGAAGAAGCAACATTGGTATGGACACATTTTAAACAGTAAAACACGAGAGAGCATCACGATTTTTGTGAAAGCAGCTTAGACCCTGTGTATTGTGACGCTTTACCTAGCTTCGCTTCACACTACCTCTGATGCTATGTTCAATTCACTTGTGTTGAAATAAGTTTAGTTTTTGACCAAGCGATGTATGACATGATTGAACACCAATCTAAAGGAGGAAAGCCACAAGCACGCTTCAGAGAGTAGAAGCAAATACTATTCAAATGGGTGGCAAAGGCTTAATGAATCATTTGCGCAAGTCTGCCATCTGCCAACATTGTACAATGAGGCCACTTTTTGTCACATCCATCTAAACTGACCTGACTTCCCTTACATAAGCAACGGGCGCGGGTTGGGGGGGGGGGGGGGGGGCGGGGTTTGCATATATAAGAATATATTTTTGTTTACATATGTTTATACATGATGCAGGGATCTCCTTTGTAACGCACCATTATGTACTGATGTTCTTTGTTGAGGGTACCTACCATTGGGACAATCAGAGCGACTCCCAAGCTGCGAGCTGGCAGGATGTTTATGGGTGCACCGTAGGAGCTACTGGTGATTGTCAGCAACAGGGCTTAAGATGCTGGTGATGCTGCTTTTGCCTCCAGCAAGGTCAGCAATAGGGCGGTGCCGGTGTGTCAGCCATAGGGCTGAAGATGCTGGTGAAGCTGCTTCTGCCTGCCAAGCAAGGCCAGTTGGGGCTTTGGTGTTAGGTTTCATGGAGATGTCCAAATCGTTTTGCTCCGCCAGAAGAGTTGCTCCACTGTTTTTTGGTTGACCCTGAGAAGAGGAGCGCGAGCAATGGATGGAAGAGCGCAGCCGATTGCGCCCGGCGCTTGTCTGCGAGTGGTCTGAATTCTCCGAGGCTGGTGGCATCTCCAGGAACCTAAACCTCCATTCTCCATCATGATTCATGATGCAGTGGCCTGGATCCTGACGTTTCATGTTCCTTCATCCTTCAAGGGAGGGACCTCAGATGTCTCCATGTTGGAGGGGCCTCAACTTAGGTGAAGAGGTGGAACTGTTGAAGAACCGCGTCGCAAAGCTTTCCAGAGGGGAGGCGCCGTGCGGAGGGCCTCGGCATAAGACCAAGAGTGGCAGATGTCAGAGGTGGAGCCCCACCATCCGTTTTCGGCGCTTTGCCTGAACAGTACGTTGGCTTTTGGCAGGGCAATTTCCGGGCCGGCGGATCTTGCTGTTTGCTCGATCCTGGCCAGTCGAAGAATCTGGTCGATGCGCAGACACAGACTGAGAAGGCTGGGATGCGAGGCAATGGTGGCACAATTCAAGCACTGCCACTTCAGCTACTGATCGACACTCCTGGGAACTCCAAGGGATGGCCATCAAACAAGTTTTTTCTTCCAGCTGCCGAAACCCAGGGTCCGTTTGCAGCCACTGCCCCCAAAGTTGGTATTGCACAAGTGGCCTGCCACTTTGCCAGGAGGGCGAGCCTACGGGCGGCTACTCTGCCGCACCCGAGGCAGGGAGGATGCCCCACGTTGACCGGGAAGTTTGTTGGTGGGTGTTCCTCGCAAAAAATAAGAAGGTAGTCAACCAGGAGTTCCATTATTTAGTAGTCAGTTAAAATAAATCGGGGATGCCAGATAGTCAACCAGAGTTAGTCAACTGGTTGACATGCGGATTCTGTCCTTTTGAGTGCTTCCGGCCAGGATGGGCTACGCGGAGTCCTGACCAGGATGTTGCAATCGCCACAGGACGCTTATGGAAGATGTGCCAAACAGGGTCGGGTCGGATTCGCGTTAAACAAGCAGCTCGTGGCCCACTTTCGTGGAAACACAAGGAGGTAGCTTGAACACATAGTGGTCTAAACATGCGTTTGCTTCAAATAAACATGCGCCTGCTTCAAAGGGAAAGCCGACATGACATGACACAATTCATTTGCAGGGGCCACATTCCAAGATGGCACAATGAAGCTTGCATGCCATAATCTGGAGGAGTGTTTTGCACAACTCAGCCAGTTCATTTCCAACTCTTGTCCCGAATATCCACCTTGTGGCAGCTTGTGTGCACAAGCGTTCTTGTGGCCGTAACGCTACCACATGGGCGTGCCCTTTTGGGATTGTCCCGGGAAGCCAAACCAACAACCCAATTTTGCTCTTTGGTCGCACCTTTAACCTCATAGGAGACATATGTTGTTTGCCGCTGAACAGCAAACATGGAGGTCCCTTTTCGAGACACCTTACGCTTTCGGGGCTGAAAGCATAGCCAACAGGACGAGGCGCTGCAGCTTTCGGGCATCGAGCAGCTCTTTGCGCAGCAAACGCAGGCAAGGTGTGCAGGAAACCCAGTTGATGCACAGAGCGCTTGAAAAGGGAATCCACTTTTTGAGCGAAGCTTCAACTTTTGCCATGTTGAGTTTTATTCGCGGGATCAACATGTAGGCTAACCTGAGGTACGCATTCACCGAGATTTGGTCGGGTGCCATTCCGCGTCGCAGGCAGGGGCAGCGCAGATGGAGTCGTCCCCACAGCTGCACCAGAGCCTGGAGGTGCGAGCTTGATTTACTTCGCATAGGAAAAACGAATCTTAGAATTGGCGAGCCCTTGAAATGCAAATGGCATCCTTTTGCTGCTTTGGGTGCGTTTCCTAGCAGGCATGGAGAAAGGCAAACAGGCGTTGGGTATAGGTGACAGCAACAGAAAGGGGTGCCACAGGTAGCCATTGCCATCTTCGTGCACCACCAGAGCAATTGGACCCTGCTTCTGAAGGCCGGGCACGGCGAGTTTTGGTCGAATGTTTTCTGCAGCGGCCGCGGATCGAGCTTCAGCGAATGAGTTTCTTCAAGGCCCCGGTGACCGAGTGCGCTTCGAAGAGTGTGCCGCATTCAGAGAGAGGGTCAGCACTTCTCGTGATCTGGGAGGCCTCACAATTCCTGTCAGTCTTGCTCGCTGTGCCTGCCCTAGTTTGAGCGTTCCCCCGGTCATAGTTTGCTGACGTATGTTGGTAGGGGGAGCCGCAGAGGTCTTCTTTGAGGGTTTGAGAAGTTTGCCATGGATCTTAGTGGATTGGTCATCACGATGAACTGCCCCGATTCGGAACACCTGAATTCAGGGGGAGGCATTCGTTGATCCACTCAGTTTCAAGAGGGATCTTCCTGTGGTCTGGTTGAACATGTTGCTAGCCGTTATCACGCGCTTGCAGAACCCGCATCTTGTTGAACAGGAAAACTATCTCGGCATATCTCGGCGTCTAATGAGTCTGACGAAGGTCAAGGGAGAATCCCAACCAATGGGTGCCTTTGCCGCCTTGCTGCTTCTTCTTTACAATGAGTTCGGGTACACCGAAAATCAATACCATGCTGAAACTGACTCAAGTGCTGCGGGCTTGTAAGATTTTGCCAAGACACTAGACACATGTCCAGTCCGCAACCAGGAGAATCATTTGCATTGCCAAAGGTCAATGAGGGGTTTGGCACATTGGAGCACTCATGGAATGTCGGGTGCAAAAACGAGGGGCAAAAGTATTTTCCGGCCACTTTGGACCCCCTGTCAAGGCGGTCCCCACATTCCCCCGGTTTTTTCGTGTCAACATCTCGTCTTGGGGATTGAACTCACCGGGAACATCTAGACCAACCGAATGGCTGTTGATTAAATGTCTGAACTGTCCTTTGAGCATTGAACACAGGGGAACGCTGATTGCTAGATATTTGAGCTCTCCTTTCAGTGAATAGGGGAACCGTCTAGACCAGGTGACAACGTGAGCTGGGCAGTCCGGTCGCCTGAGGAGCCTGCGGCCCAGCAGCTGCTGCCGCAGGCCCAGCTGCAGCAGGCCGCCCAGGCGCTCGGGTTGGGGAAGGCTCCGATTGTGGTGGGGAAATGGCTGGGGGGGGGAGCGGGGGGAGGGGGAAGTTGGTCCAGCTTTTCGTTTTTCCCCAACAGCTGAAAGCTTCGGGGTCTCAGCCCAGATAGGCTCCGGGGTGGTCCGGGGCGGCACTGAGATAAGGTTCCACCAGGGTTCCACGAGGGTTCCACGAGGGTTCCACCAGGGTTCCACCAGGGTTCCATGAGGTTCTGCGCGGGCGGGGTGGTGCGAGCACTAGAAAGAGCACCGCATGCTGTTGGGGATATCACCTGAGCTTAGTTCTTTTGGGGTTCCGGGGGCGGGGGGGGGGGGGAAGTTGGTGCGGCCCTTTGGTTCCTTTGGGGTCCCAGCAATGAAATCGATGGAGCCTGAGGTTTGGGGAGTTGTCTGGTTTGGACCCGTTTGCTGTGAAAGGGACCGGGTCCCGAACGTCGAACGGTTCCATGTGAATTGGGAGGGTACCATCCAAAAGAGTCAACATCAAAACCCAGGTAAGTGGAGGGTCCCCTTGCCATTTATATGGGTGTCGCCTTTTCGGTTCAGCCATTTGGAGAGAGACTGATCCAAAAGTCCGATAGGTTGCGTTCAGACCCATGTGAACTTGTGACTCAAGTGTCCCGGGCATTATTCTGCATAGTTTGTGGTCATCAATTGCCGGCATCGGAGTGCTGCCATGATGATGGCTTGCTGCTGCGCCAAGGAAGGTGGGGAGATTGAGGAGGTGCAAGCTCTTCCCCTCTTGCCAGAGGAGGCACCACAGAAGCCGGAGGAGGCATCCGCGCCAGCGACACCGGCAGAGGCACCAAAGGAGGTGAAAGCTGGCTTCACTTTCAGGCTCCCTGACGACTCCACGAAAGAGGTGATCTTTGCTTCAAAACCACTGGGCTTGGACTTCAGCAAATCCATCCCCTTGACCGTAAAGTCGGTGAAGAAGGATTCCGCCGCCGAGTCTGCTGGAATTGAAGCCAAGTGGGTGCTCACCCACGTCGCCGGAGACGAACTCCCTTCCGATCTGAAAGAAGTGATGCGAAGGATCCTGGCGACAGTTCGCGAGCTGCCAACAAAGTGAGCAGGCCTCACTAAGTGAGGCCTCACTCGCTCTGCAAAAGCAGAGACATGTTTTCCCGCTCCAAGCACTGAGCCGACTGATAGAAAAAGACCCATGTTTCCTGGACAGGCAACGCAAAGGCGAATTGTATCCGCTTTTGCTTGTTAAAATTGGGCAACTTCACATCGCGGTCTCGATGTCAAGTTGTGGAAACCTCGTTTCTACACGGGCTGAGAAGTATTGGCAGATGCCAGTCTCTAGTTCCCGTGGGCCCAAAGTCCACCCCAAAACTCGACCATTTCCGATGTCCTGCTGCGGATGGGCGACATCCCCCCACTTTGAAACCATGGTTGAATCCACGGTTCGCTATTTACAGGGAATGGACTCATTTTTCCGTCCATCACTATGTAAAAGAACGCACACACACACACACATTAATCATCGGATCTCCTCCATCGCTATGAAGCACATGTGGTTTGCCGCTTGCAGGGGAATGGATTTTTTGGAGCCATTTCCGTCCAGTATGTAAAGCAACGCACCCAGATCTTCGAACTTTCGGAGCCGAGCGCAGAGGCGGTGTTGGCCGCCAGCGTCGCCTTGCTGGAGAAGACCGCGGGCCTGAGCTCGGCGCAGGCCGGCGAAGGATGGCCGATGGCGTCATGGGGTGGTGGAACCTCCGAGTACACCTCTCTTAAAAATATATATATTAAAATAACATAAAAAACAGAAACAACAAAAATAGAAACAAAAGAAGACCCAGACTTTAAACATGGTTTCCTGTTGTTTGGACACTGGAAGTTTTGTATTATGAGTTTGGGGTCCGGCACAGTGGGGCACCTACGAATTGGATGTCTATGGGAGCCACATCTTCAATATGCTCAATGGTTCAGTTTGCATGTCTGTTGAAGCCATGGACCCGGATTCCCGATGCCGCCTTCTTTGCGAAGGCCACGCCCAACCCCACGAAGCTCTTCACGTGGCTCCTGTCTCTGCTGTCGCTCCTGCTGCCGCGCCCTTGGAAAGGGGTTCAACTAGGCGGATCCCTGGGCGCAGGGGGTCCTGAGGCTCTTTACAGGCGATGCTTCGGTCTATTCCAACCCGTGACTCCCTGAAATGACCGTCGGCGTGTGATCAAAAAGACCACCTCACCTCGATTCCCAACCCGTGATTCCCTGAAAAAGCATCGGTTTGTGAGCAAGCCCAAAACGAGAGCCTCGCCTCGCCAAGTTGGGGCGGGCGAGTCGGCGAGACTCGGCCCAGGCCCAACCTGGAATCCTGGCTGCGGCAGCGGAAGCAGAGCGAGGCCTCGCGGATGCGGTCTGCGAATCCTCTCGAAGCTATGGCACATTATGGGGATGGTCTGGTTTGCTCTGGGCCCACAGGTTCCGCTGCGGCAGAAATCGAGGGCAAAGTGCGCCACGCCCTGGTTTGTTCTTCAGGAGTTTGTGCAGAGCTTGCTGCATGCCGCGCCCCCAGAACGCTTACATGCCAATGCCTGCAGCCTTTTTGAAGATTTGAATGCGCGCAATTGGAAGCTACGAAGCTGGGCAAGTAGGAATAATTATGCCGGCACAAAAGCATGGAATTGCTGGGTGTCTCCCCAACTCCATCAGTTTCATTTCCCTTTTGGGTTGTGAAAAGCACATTTTAGATCTTCACCTGAGCCCCACCCTCTAGGGAGGATCAAAGCTCGTCCAAGGGAGTGGTGAGCCGACTCCTGGCGGCCTCAGAGCTGCCGCCGGAGGCGGGGGTCGTTCGCATTTGTTTCCGCGGCTAAGAGGGCCGGGGGAGCCCCGGAAGAAATGGCCATGGGTCAAGACCCATGGCCAATGGTCTCAACATTGGCCGCAAATCCGGGGATCCCCCGCACACGATTGAATCTCAATCTGGCTCAATGCGCGTAATTCTCACTTGTGGGGTTGACATTGGTGCATTCTATGGGTTTCAAGCACCCACCCCCTCATGAGGGGACGCTCTCCCCAAAAGAGGGATCGAGCTTCTTTCGGGTTTACTGCAAACCAACAAAGACATGCCCATGTCGCCCCAAGCCCAAGCGCATACGGTCCGAGCGGCATGCGCCATCTCTGGTTTACTCGGTGGTTCCCAGCCTGCCGGTTCCTTAGGAGGTTTGCAATTGGTTGTTTTCAACTGGTTTAGTGGGGGGTTTCCATGTAACCCACCAAAAGTTAAACACTAGCAGAAAATCTGAGGACAGCCCAGTGTACCAACAAAGGAGTCGACCAGAAAGATATGCACAAAAAGAACCACGAATCAGCTTGCTCCATTGGGCCATAGGCGCTGATCCTGAAGGGCGTGCAGCTTCTACCGCTTCTGCCTATGGAGACATGGATCCAGCAGGCTGGGAGTAAGCCCAATGGTGCCACTCCGGCGCAGGCACCCCTGATGCCAAGAGTTGCTATTTTGCAGACAAACCGAATGCCGAGGATGCAACATAGACCCAGCTTCAAAGCGTCCAAGTCGAAAAAAGAAGATCCAGCCGCTTGGGTTCACTAAACGTGGACCGTTTTTTTGTTGATCCAGTGAGCTTGCATTGCAGCAAATTACGGGGTTTCCAACTTGTTCCCCACTTGCTTCATATTCAACCCCAGCCACAAAGCTCGCCCCCCCCCCACTTCCGGCAAAGAGTTTGTGCTTGCTCTCGTAAGGGGGGGCTCTTCCACCCTTGAGGCACATTGGTCTCGCTTCACGCCAAGAAATTTGATTTTAACACGGCGGACGATCCCCCAACTGTCCACCAAAGCGGTCAATATGTAGTCTCATTCACATCCGCGCACCAAATATTTGTGTTTTTGTGGGAGTCCCCCAACCTGGATCTCTCGGTCCTCGAACGGTTTCCCCGAAAGCAACTCCCACAAGGCGGCTCCAACTCCGACCCAAAAGCAAATTCCACGGCGAAGCGCCGGATGAGATCTGCCTGGACAGCGGCGCCATCCACTCCTTCGCGCTGGTGAAGCAGCGCTTGGCCAAACGGGGAGGCCTGAGCCCCGCGAGCCGCGCCGAAGGGGGGCGCTGGGGTGGTTGGAGGCCTGGGCGAAGGTTGGCGAGTCTTGCAATATGGTTTGGTGAGTGTTTGGTGAGTATTGTCTACTTGCAGTATTTGGAGGTGTTTTTGTGGATACTCTTCTTGGGCTTGAAAGGGAAGCCAAATGGAAAGCCCCGTCAGTTTGGGGGGCCCTATTTTGGACACATATACACTCCCCTCAGGCTAACAGCCGGAAGCTGCCAGAACGTGTCACCAAGTCTTCCATTTCGGGGTCCGTTCGGCAAAACGTGGGAAGACCCAAAGCCATTTTGGGGCTCCGCAAAAACAACCACACACACACATACACCTGCTGGGAATGCAGGGGGCTGGCGCCTTTGAACCAAATCCTAATAAATCATTTGAACCAAAGGATAGATGATGGTCTGTTTCATATCCGTAACCCCCCCGGAAGCCAAACTCTGGTACTTTGGTGGCCTGCCACTCTCCCTCGAGGTGCGATTTTTGTGTCAGGCTTGTCTTCAAATGGTGTAACCTGCCCATGGGTGTCCTCCCCCTTTGGTTCCCTTCGCTGGGCACATGACATGACCTCGCGGCCTCACCAAACCGTCGGCGACTCGCGACCGATTTCTCCCGAGAGAGCCGCTTCAAGCGGCATGGTGCCAGCTCCAAGGAAATCACCACTTGCAAAATGGGTGTGTCTTTTTTGGTGCGAAGCTAGAGGACAACCGCCATTTTGGGAGCTTCCCTAAAAAGGCACACCCATATGTCAATGGATGTCAATGGTTGATGGATTTCAATGCTTGGAATTCCGTCAATGGACACATTTCCAACAAAGGAATCCCCAAATTGGTGGCTTTTCTCGTGGTGTCCGCATCCGACATAGCCAAGTGATCAAGGGTTTTGGTGGCAATTACTCAGCTGCGCTGACGGGTGCACAGCATTGCGAGGGGGTTGGAACATGGCCATTGCAGCTTCTGTCCTCGCCCCAAGCCAAGCTCAATTCGTCAGCCAGTCTTCGGAGGGCTAGGACAACTTTGCCGAACCGAAGAATCAGCGTTTGGCACAACTTGAAACCAAGGGATCCGAGTGAGGGCATGGTTTTAGGTTTGCTTCCTTGCTTTACTGACAATTTTGCTTGATTGCGCATCGGAGTGATTTGAGTCTTGCATGATTTCCAGATTATTCTATGCGAGCTGATTGAGAGACATGGGCTCTGAAGCCTTCCACACACATATGTTGAAGCAGGCATGAAATAGCATGAGCCGGAGCAACCATTACACTTGTTCAGGATTTGAAACTGCTTTCTGTATGACGGGTTGTGGCAGACGCAGCGGAGTAGACTGTGATCCATCACTCTCTTTACAGCAAGGCCAGCCACATCATTCCATCATTTGAGGGTCAATGTTGTGCATTGCAAGTCCATCTCTTTCAGAAATGTATTGTTTGCTTCAACCTCAAATCCAAGATCTTAACTCTGTCCATTACGGATTCGAAGATGCTTGGGCGGTTCATGTTGCTGGTTTTAATCTCAGGCCCAGTCTCAGGTACTGAGTCGGGCGAGGATTTCACACTGTCGAAGGCTGGCGCTTTGATGCCGGAGCCAATGGCATGCCTTGCTCGCGAACGTGCGAAAGATCTTTCCGGGTTGGGATTCAATTTCCTCATGTGACTCATATGTTTCTTGCCTTTGTCGCACTACTTGGCATGTCTTGATTTCTTGCATGTAATTTGCATGCAACAAAGGGCTTTTTTGTCCACGCCGCCAGATTGCCGCAGGCGGTTCAGAGCGCGATACGGGGCGTGCCTGGCGGCCGAGCAGTGCGACACTGCGAGTGTAGATGTGGCAATGCGGGTGTCACAATGGCGCAGTTTTGGGACTCTCAAAGAGTTCCGGTCGAAAACATACATTTTGTCAACATGTGTGTGTGTGTGTGCGGAGTGACAGAATGCCCTGTCACCACCCTTTCGGTTTCGCAGCAGGGGGCACAGGCCCATGGTGGTGACCTGTGCCAACGAAGCTAACCACCATGGGGGAAACGCGGACTGATCATCCGCGTGTACCTGCTTTTGTGAAGTGATGTTGCTGAAGGTCCTTTTGGTCCCCTCCCTGAACCGCCGTTGCTTTGTGTGCCCCTGTTCAAGTAACTAGAGTGAAGCTGAGTGATGTGCGAGTCGAAGCTCACCATACTCGAGACTCATCAGTTGTACTCGAAACTCATCAGTTGTACTCGAAAGATTAGCACTCTCCATCTGGAGTTCAAGTGTGTACACCCCATTCGTGGGGAATCCTCGGGTGTACCCATTGTGTGACCCCGGGCCGGCTCTGTCGGAAAATTTGACCTCAACGTGCTTATCATAGAACAGCGGAATTTCACATTTAATCAGGAACGAGGTTTCACTAAAGGGAAGAAAGCCGTCAGTTCATAGAGACGTCTCACCACAGCGGATAGCTGCCGATTTTCATTGCATTTCTTGACCATTGGTTGAACTCGTTGCTCGTATCACTGCGGTTGGTGATTGCTGACTTGTATTTGCTTCCCTTGTGCATGTCGAGTGACCATTGCAGTTGAGGGCTGCTAACTTGCATTTGCATTGATTTGAACGTTTTCAAGTCTGAGTATCTCAAGGAGGAAGTGCGCAAATTCAGAGTCGGTTGCGTCACCATGTCTCGACGGGATGATCGTGATAGATCCAGGACTCGACGCAGACGTGATCGGAGTCCGTCCCCTCAAGCTCACAAAGCACGCCGACGTGAGCACAATGACAACCAGGTCGCGGAGAACATGGATTGGAACAACTTGGTCTCATGGCAGCACAACTCCGGCTACAACGCTGCTAACAACTTTCCGATGATGCCCACCAATTTTCAATCGACTCACAACCCCACACAACAATTCCAATACCCGGCGATCAACTACATGATGCCGATCCCTCCTGATCCCACGCCATCCAAGTTCATGCCACCAGTGATGCCACCACCGGTCACTACTTCCCAACCTACACCATCACCTGCACCTCCTGCGGCTCTACCGGTTCGTCCTCAGAAAGCCTGGCTTACTCCATCGCCTGACTGGACACCAGGAGACGGCATGTTTGATGTCAACCAGCTCTACAACTTCAGCCTGCCCATGACTGTTGCCAACACTCCGCATGGCAACCTTCGCGACATGTCCGGCATGGATATTAGAGACGTTCGCCTGGTTCAGGTTATCCACGGGGGCCTCACCAACTGGCTCCTCCGGCCGTTTGCACACGGCCGCTTCGTGACGTGGGAAGGCTTTCGCACCCGCACCGAGGCCTTGCTTTGGAGTACCTGCTCCAAATTACTGCGAAGATCGCAGTCACTTAACCTGCTCACCCTGGAGAAGGACCTTGCCAACACGATGGGTCTCAACATTGATGACTTCAATCAGCGCATCAAGGTCCACGACCATTTGGCCAACTTGGTACTTCAATTTCTTCAACAACATCACACCTCTCTCGCACCCGCTGCCCAGACCGATGACATTGTCAAAAAGTTCAATGATTTGAATCGTGCTCACGAACTTCTCCAGGCTCAGTATTCCGCATCACTTCGTGCATCGACTTCTCCCACGATGACAAACCAGAAGGATGATGCAGAGTTGGTTACACCACCACCGGTCAACCACACACCATCCTCGTCACCTGCCAGCTCCCTTCCCACAGCCAGCGCGGCCGCCCTGGATGGCAAGTCGTTTGATAGCGTGGTGCAACCTCGGATCATGCAGTCTCTTCACGGAATGTCGTCACCGCCGTCCAAACCGGCGGCGTCACAATTGCTCACCATGCACAGCACGCCGGAGGAAGTTGTCAAGTACTACACATGGACCAGCGACCAACCACGCCTTTTCCTCAAGCAAGCACCCACAACAACCACTTTGGCATCGCTGGTTAAGTGGGCCAATCACCCGTCCCGGCTCAACGGCAACAAGTCATTAGATTCTATGGCGACGCAACTTCTTCAGGCGAAGCAACGCATGCCGAAAGGCGATGCCCCCACTCTCGGGGCAATGGCGGCTTCATGGGGATTGGAGCCCGGCTATCTTACCAAACTCACTGAGAAGGCATTGAGTCACCTCATCGTGACCGCTCGCCTGCTCTGTGGATGAGAAAGCATCATGATGCTCTTCGTTCTCATATGAGCCCGGAGCGGCAACATCACGGATGAGTCCAGGTGAAAACTCGTCCGTCATGTGTCTGCGTTGCGCCTGATTGATCTTGTACTTGCTTGTTCTTGCATTGCTTCTTGTGTGATTGGCTGAGATGCTTGTATTCATGTCGCCGCCTTGTGGTAGATTTCGTTGGTTGCATCTCATCATGTTGGATGAACTTCGTCACTGCGGAATCTATGATGATGTAGCACAATGGCAGTCGCTGGACGACCTTCTGCACTCGTTGACCATATTCTCTACGTGCTGGCATTACTGTTTTCCTGGACTACCACCACCGTCGATTCCAATTGAGGAGCACGAATCCATCACACAATTACCGTGGCTGGGTCTCATCCTCGAGGTCTTAGTTGTGGTCCGGATAGCCCTTCAGATTCCGAATCGTGCTATGTCCAGCTCTAATCACACCGTGGCTAACAGATATGAGCTTCACAGATGTCGGTGCGCAGCCTATTTATTGATCAGTTTCTTACAACGTCTTATTTCACAAGATCACGGCTACTTCCCGCCGTTCTTTGAAGTCCTCCACTTCTACAAGACTTCTCTCTTGTGTGAAATCATGCACTCGACTTTCGCTGACACGCGACATCTACGCTCATTGCGGGCGCGATTTCCTGACCTCTATGACTTCATATATGATCCAGGTCATCACCAACAACCGTGCGTCTACATTCGCCTTTCCCCATGGCACACACCATACTATGTTGGGGCGACTGATCAGGATGTGCTACGTCGTGAACACTCACGCAGTCGCAAATTTCTACAACTGCTTCGTGGACGACATGCCTTCTTTGAACCGGCGCTTCACTACTGGAAACGATCCAACACCTACTGGCTCTACTGTGCTGTACCAGTGGAAATCAAACTTCCAGTTTCCTCGGTGTGGGTCCAAGAAAGCAAATGGCAATACCTGCTACGCCCGCATTTAAATGCGCCCTGGGTACACAGAATCTTGCGCAAGGTGGGCTTCCGGGAACACCTTGTAGACTTTCGACGCCACTCGTTGTCATCCCCCACTTCCCTCGGCTTGCACAAGCGCTTTCGACGACGACTGCATCCGGATCTCCAACGACAACTACGACCTGACGCACTGGATGACATTCAAGCCCACTACTCGATTCTCTATCAGCTGGGATCGAATACAGGAGCGTCGTTCCAAGTCATGCGTGACCTACTGTCGGCCGCCTTCCCTCCCACTCAGCTGTACTACTTATTGCGGCTCGCAGTTTTCGTCAACGAACCCTTCCCAGAAGCTCCTCGCCCAGGTACTGCGCAAACGACGGCTACAACCACCCTCCACTTTGACACAGCTATTTCTGCCGCCGCTACATGTCCAAAATTGGAAAGCTCTACTTGGCACATGGTTACAAAGCTGGATTGCTTCCCATCGGGATCTGTTCCCTTCTCTTTTCATTCCAAAGATCCGGGTTGTGGAAACCCGCAGCGCCACATTGGGCGACAAGATATACAACTATCGCACATGGCAGCGCAAATGGACGCCTGACACATCCTTTCCGTGTCGCTGTTTGGACATCGATGATCACCATCTACTCCGTGCACATGGTCACGCAGTAATGGTGGATGACTTTTCTCGCATCAATGCGGACATTAACGTGGAAATCATGGCCGCCTCAATGAAGGATCAGTTTTTCGGTGATGTCGACTTATTGCATCAACGTTTCACCACGCAACTTCGCAAACTTGCTCGACGCTGGCATGTACATGGTTCCGATCTACTTTCAGATCTACAACCGGTCGTGGCTCAGTTAATGGAGACCCATCGGATCAACCTCCAAGATCGGGCTTATTGGTCATCGACATCGTTGCAACGCACTGTGGCCTCTTTGTCTTCATGGGTAGTTATACCAGCGGATCATTTTCCCTCCCGTGCACATGTAGTGTGCCCGTCCCTGTTTGCCATACTGATGCGGAAGACATTCTGCGCGGGGGATGTTTTCTCACTTTGCCGCGAATCCGCAGCATCGTTTCGCTCTGAAGTGGTAACCACGGTACCTTCTCTCCTACGTCAACGATACGCATGGGGACTTCGACTTCAAGCACCGTTGCCCACAGCGCGCATCCTTCCAAAGCCGACCAAGGACTGGCAGAAAGCTCGACCCATCATTTCATTCTTTCGCACATGGGCAGCTCCCTTCCTCACGGTCTTCGGTGCGCTCATATTTGAACTCACCAAGGCGGCTTTCCCCGACATTGCAGGTCAACTCCCGGTACAAGAACTTATCCAGCAGCTGTGGGAAGCACTGTCAAAAGCAGATCCTGATGAGTACATCCACCTGGTGTCGCAAGACTTGTCAGGCTTCTTCACGTCCATTCCTACGGAACGATTCCATCAGGCGCTTCAAGTGCTTCTCCATCGATATGATCAAGTTGTTGGCCTTCGCAGTTCCTCGCAATGGTCCGTGTACGAAGTCAAGTCAGATCATCGACGCCGTATGTTCAAAGGAAAGTGGCGCCGTCAAACCAAGATCCCTCGAATCTTTCGTGAACAAGATCTCCGGCACCTCCTCGACTTTGTCATTGACAACAGTCACTTCGAGATCAACGGATACTTGTTCCGCCAAGAACGAGGAGTCGCTATGGGATCACCAGCC